ATATATTGGCACACACACAAGTGGCAATGAATGTTGGAAAATAACAAATGTTGAGGAAAAAGTATGAGAGTGGGTCCAACCTCATTGATGTCTTCATTATTAAATCAAAAAACGCCTCATAGACTGTAAAATAAATATTTATTAATTTTTAAATATTATATTTATCTTAAAATAAATTCAAAAGGTTTGGTAACTCTTTTTCATTTAAATTTTAATGAAATATTCAGACTTAATTTTTCCTTCAAATTCTTATGAGAGTGGGCCCCAACCTTTAAATTGTTAAAAGTATTTCTAGAGAGAGAAAAAATAAGAGAGGGAATGGGTTGGCTATATCAAATCATTGAAATTTTGATAAAAGGTCTGATTTTTTGATTAATTTTGATATTTGTGCTAACACTCGAAACATGAATGAAGGAGGGAGATAGATTTGTAAATAATCATGTTTCCCATAGGGCTATCAAAAATGGCTTGTTGTTTGCAAACAGCTCGTGTTATACTCTTTAAGAAACTCGTATTTGGCTTGTTCGCTAAGTTAACAAGCTGAACACCAACAATACGAACAAAGGTTTGTCCGTTCGTGTTCAGCTCGTTTTGGCTTGAAATACTACTAATCAATTATATATATATGATGAGTAGTATTTTTAAAAAATTAAATTGACTACAAAACTACAAAGATTTAAAATCAATTAAAGTATTAATTAAGAAAATAAAATTAAAATTATTAAATTAGATTCAAATGATATTTTAATATAAACAAAAAATTTTCAAATCTTGCATCAATCTTTAACATCTTATCTCTACGTTATTAGGGTTGTCAAAACGACTCTTTGTTCGCGAACGGCTTGTGTTCGGCTCGCTAAGCAAACGAGCCGAACAAGAACACACTTTTTGAGCTCGAAGTATAAACGAGCCTCGTTTACACCCCTAGTTTCGGATGCTATGTATGTGATTGTGTATTTTTTTTTTATGGAGAATAATTTTAATATTTTCTCTAAGAAAATTAATTATAAAAGAGATTCGTAGGCTCCTACGAATTTTTTATAGGGGATGCAAGCATAAGCCTAAATAAAAATAAGAATAAAAAACTCCAGATGACCAAACAATTTCGAAACAAACGCATGATTTCATTATTGTTTTATCATATAGTGATTATTTGAGCAAATAAACTCTGCTCAAATTTTACTAATTGAGACATCCTAAATTATACATTCACATCAGACCTACCGGTCTTAGTTATAGTGCTTATTTTGGTGTAGGTGCGAACATCTCAACATCAGTGCAATAAATCCCGAAGTACGGAATTCTTGTTCGTTTGTTTAGGGTTTACGACATCATCAAAATATATCGCCAAACTCATATTTTGGGGAAATCCAACAGATTATGAGATAGAAAAGTGCAATTAAAGAGAGACCGCTTACGAGAGACCAAATGACCAACTTAATCAGATGCACCCCTCTAAATCGAGGCTGGAGGCCAACCGAGTGGAGGTCACCCGAACCAAGCAAAGGCATCGAGTTGCCAATCGCCTTAACCCAACTAAAGCAAAGAGTTCAGAATCGCAGCCATGTCATGCACGCCCTTGAGATTCCTCATATGGAAGCTAGAATTGGTAATAACATAATTTACGAGCATCCCAAAGGAACCTCCCGTCAATGAATGAGCTACATGTCAAATCCCAGAGATTCACTCTCTGCTTGAAAGTCTAGCCTCGTTTTTCCTATAAGAGCTTCTCATCCAAGTATCAACGGTCGATGGTTAGACTAGAGTAACCAATAAGCGAAGCCAAGTCGATCGAGCTAAGCATACCGACCCGAAGGCCTTCAAAGGCCGATCGACAACCCCGATTCAACACAGTCGGATGAGCGGGTCTTGTCGAAGCTAGATCCACCAATTTAGCACAGTCAATGATACTTTTATACGCCTCTAAGTTTTCTTCTCCGGCTTTTCTTGATCTCTGTTGCTCACTCATTTTCTCAATCTCAACACTTTCTTATCGAGCACCACTGTTTAGCTGGGAGCCTGGAATGCTTCTCTGTGCGACATTCATTTAGTTTGCTCTGGTATTATTATTATAGTCATGTTTCTTCCTTCCACTGTGTTTGGTTTTTCTATTACAGGCAATTATATCTTTCCTTGGGGCTCCATGGAGGCTACTGGATCTGTGGTGTTATTGGGGGCTCAATGCTTACTTTATGGTGGTGTCTTTCTGTGTTTTGGTGGTCTTATTGATGGCTCTACACCCGCATCTTGGTGGTGTTATTCGTGGTTGTATCATGTTTTTTGTTGTTGTTATTGATGAGTTTGCTTCTCGAGTCTTCTGCATACTGTCTACTGGTGTTATTGATGGTTGTGGCCCAAGTTTTGATGGTTATTAAAGTCTCTACCCCTTGTTTTGGTGGGGATATTTGAGGTTGTATCCTGTCTCTCTGGATATTATCTGGTAGTGTTATTGACGAGTTTGCTTCTTGGGCTCTATGCATACTATTTTGGTGGTGTTATTGGTAGTTGTATCTCGCATTTTTGTGGTGTTATTCACGTCTATATCTTGTATGTTCGTGGTGTTATTGACGGGTTTATTTCCCGACCTCTCTGTATACTGTCTGGTAGTGTTTTTTCCATGTTTTTGTGGTATTATTCATGACGGTATCCCGCGTTTTGGTGGTGGTATTCATGGTTTTTTCTTGTATTTTGGTGGTGTTTTTAAAGGGTTTACTTACATACTATCTAGTAGTGTTTTTCGCGTGGTGATGCTATTCTTTGCTGAGACTGAAGCTCTATACTGCTAGAAAAAAGACTATTGGGTCTACTTTCTCTTTGTTTTTTTGCATCTTCTTCTTCCTAGAATCTCTGACTTTATTTTTGTCATTTTTGGGTATACATGTATCTTTTTTTGGAGGCTTTTATGTGCGGTGTACACCGGATAGAAGATCCTCAAATCCTCTTCTATCGTACAACTCTTTTTGACATTATATAATATAGCCTACGGGTATATATATATATATATATATATTATATATATATATAGCCTTATGTATACCTATACTTATGATCTATGTATAGCCTTATATATCTAACTCTTACATGAGTGACTCATATTCAAATAGCCTTATGTATAACTATACTTATGATCATAAGTATAAATAATTGTAACAGTACTTCCAAGTTAATATCCATGTCACAATATCATTTTTATTTTCATATCACTATACATAATTTATCAGTCATTTATTCATATCTAATAATAATGAACATACAACCCATCCATGCACATATCATCAATATTAAAAAATAGGCATCAATCTCATGAAAATTCAATGATTTCTCTGCTAACTCGTCAATTCTACTAGTCATTAATATAACATACACATTCCAAACATCGAATGTATTAAGCTTCAAATTCATGCATGCACTCGAATGTATTAAGCTTCAAATGCACGGCCATATGGTTTAGAGCTAAAATTGTCAACCATTAAGCTAAAATCATCTGCATCGTATAACAAAATATAAGAAGTTTTATATATATATATATATTTTATAAATCACATAATTCTTGCATATTTATATATCTAAGAACTAAACTTTTGATATTTACATACATAACACTCAAAGTCTTAACATCACAAACAAAAAATCACTACCACTAATATTTTAAAATGAAATGTGCCTTTACATGCACAAGTTTTGGTGCCAATATGACATTAAAATGCTACAAATGTAAATATAAAACTTTTGAGGAAACTATGTAAATGCATAAGGTTTGTTTGGTATGTATGCAAATCTCCCAAATTATATCTGTATTAAGTTAGTATGGCTACCTACTTGCCCAATAACATATAAAAATATAATAGAAATGAATTATAGTCTCTCATGAGAATTCAGCTTCTCAAATCAATTTGTGGTTGACCAAAATTGGTTTGTTTGACCAACAGAACCAAAGAAAACAAGTTCTACTTACAGTCAATTAAAGCCTACATGCCCTAATTGCAAATCATTTATGGGTTGCATGTAATCCAAGCAGCTATGGCTAACATCACTTACAATTATGCATAATTTCAAGTCTAGAAAATATATGTTTGAATTAGATGTAGCCCAAATGTGGCTGCATAATTTAATTATGTTGGTTGTCTCATCTACCAAGCTGTAGAGCCTAATTTATGCTAATAAATAAGGGCATTTTCATAAATATGACATAATTCTTATGTATTTACATAAAATTTTCATTTTTGCATCCATGGCACTCAAATCTTCACTACCATAGACAAAATGTCAATTTTTAGAAGTGATACAACTGTGCATGCATAAGCTGAAGCTAAGGTTGTACACCGAGTCAATTCAAACTTTGAGCCACTCTTGGCCGAAGATTGATTAATTTAATAGAGTTCGAACTCTTCTAAAAGAAAAGGCAGAAAAAAAAATTTAAATGAAATGACAAATGGAATGAACTTTTAAGAGATAGTTAATAATTAATATATACATATATAATTTAATTTTAACATATTTTAAGAATATTTTTTATTAATTATTTTTTTATACAAACAGGCTCAATAAAGAGTCGAGTCAAGGTTGGCTTAAGATTGGCTTGCTAGCTCATCGAGCTCAGCTTACAAGCCACTTAGCAAGTCGAGCTCGAGTCGGCTCACTTACACCCCCTAGTTTAAACCACAAAATGCTATAATTAAGAAATTTATACAAATGAATTAAGGTTATTTCTCTATAAAATCTAATCAAAATGAAACATAAAGAAAAACAAAATGAGATAACTAATTGGATTCATATGTATATTTTTACATTATCTTTTTATATTTTAATGATCTAAGGGCATATATTTGACTATATATATATATGTACGATCATGTTTATTTTAAATGAATTTTTTTTAATGTAAATAAAGCAAATAATATAAATGACAAATTCATACTTGATTCCATATTTACCCCCCCTTTGATTTATTTGAATGATTTCATCCATGATGTAAATGCTAAATACATAATGAATAACACTGACAAAAAATCAATCAATCCATAGAAATACAGTGCATCATAACATCCATCAAATATACAACAAAATTATTAATTTTATTTTACAGCATAGAAATGATTTGATTACCTGCTCCACGCACACAGATTCATTCAGCTATTTCTCTGCACGCTAAGATGGCAATAACAAGCTTCGGCATTTCTATGATAGAAGTTGAAATAAAAATAAGAGCCCTAAACTATATAAGTTAGGTCTGATAATACGAAAATTAAACAATTTCAACCTCACAAGTCTATCTGCTCCATGAAGAAGTTAGCTTGGATTGATTAAAGGTTCAGTTTATAGGTGACTGATTCCTGGCTGTGTCAGTCATGGCTTCTGCAATCTTCTGCCGCATCTTATACTGCAGCATGGTGGGAGCACAATCGAGAGGGGTTTCCCCTAATCAGAAAATCATGAGATCAGTAAGGCTTGCACTTCCATTAACTCAATAGAGATCATAATGGTGGGTTAAACAAACCATGGCTCTTCACAGTAAAGTTAATGCATGATATGTGATTTTAAAAGAAAGAAAAACAGATTTAGTAACCATAGAACAGCAAGTTCCAAGGCAAATGATCCCACAAAGAAAACAACCTACTATGCAACTTCACTGCTGCATTTGTCTTTACTTCTCTCTTAATTTCCAAGAAAAAAAATTTAAGATACATGTAAAATATGATAAAAAAATCATTTGTCAGTGCATGTATCTTCTCTGTTACTTTGTGAGCAATTGAAGAAATTGTAAAGCAATTCTTATTTTATGCAAGTTAGATGAGTTCTCATAAAGTGCACAAAGAAAAAAAAAATAACATCAAAAAATTTTATCAACAAAGTGCAACCCTCCTCCCCTACTGCCGGCTTTCTTGAATCCTCATTCTACATTCATTACTATTATAGTTGAATACAGTGTTAATCATACTTTGTAAAAATCCTTCTACGCATCTTCTAACAAAGGAATCATAGGATTGACCATGAACAAACCACCTTAGTCAATTTTACACTACATTACAATCAATAAATGCTGCTACTACCATCTCTTTAATATAATTTAACACCACAATTTAATCAAAACAAAATGGTTCTTCTCTTTATCTCTTTCTAGACATCGCCGCTGGCTGCCTCTAACATACCTTCTTCTATATTCATGTATATCTTATAAAAGCACAACTACATATGCGTTCAAGAAAGGATAAACAGAAGTACATGAAGCACGATAAATAAAAATGCTGAGCATTATAGGCATTACTGTTGGTAAGACACACAAGCAACATAAAGAAAAGAGAGCCTAGAAAAGCAAACTGGAAGGCTTCATACAAAGCTAGGAAGTACACGCGCATTTTCTTAAAAAAAAGGCGAAACATAAATTCTGTGCAGAAAAATATTGGGAAGCTACCTTGAGCATTCTTCCTCTCCACACTGGCTCCATGGTTCATAAGAATAAAAGCTATCTCAGTATGGTTAAACAGTGCAGCCTGCATCAATTAACACAATATTTGCATCAGCTTGTAACACTTATACATTGAATGAAAGGAAGATACAAGGAATTCCAGAAAGCTGATAATTTAATGATACTGATATATAAGGAGTGTCTTTGTAGAATAATATTCCAAAAACAAACTCTTCCGTATTTGTAAATGTGAAAAGATAAAATATATTCGCAAGGGATGAAAGAAAAAAGCAAGCTAAATGAAACGTGGACAGCCATTAAATTAATTGGCCTAACTGAAACTATTTGTGAAGCAGCTCAGGACCATTGAAGAGTTCATAAAGCTGATGATGGAATGATGCTTAAACAAAAAGTAAATACGCTGGTTCAACTTGAGCCACAGCATAAAAAGGCACAAGGAAACCTTTATGAAAGTTGAAAAAAGTCCTTATGTTACTATCCTCTCGAGTTTTAGGGAATAAATAAATAAATTTCAGACATTTGATCTGGGAGACTCCACGATCAAATAGTCAAGTTAAAGCACAAGCCAAAACTCAGGCACAAATCATGCTCGTGAAAAGGTCATGTTCGGCTTGTTAAGAAACTCGTGTTCGGCTCGTTCGCTAAGTTAACGAGTCGAACATGAATAAATATTTGTTACCAGTCGAACACGAACAACACGAATAAATATTTGTTCATTCGTGTTCGGCTAGTTTTGCCTTGAAATACTGCTATATATATATATATATATTTGATGAGTAGTATTTTAAAAAAATTTATTAACCACAAGGCTACAAATACTTATAATCAATTACAAGTTTTAATTAAGAAAATAGAACAAAAATTATTAAATTAGATTCAAATGATATTTTAAATCTTAACCCAATCTTTAACATTTTATGGATACATGATTAGTGTTGTCAAAACGATTCTATGTTCGTGAACGGCTCCTGTTCGGCTCCCCAAGCAAAAGTTCGGCGAGCCGAACACGAACACACTTTTTGAGCTCGAAATATAAACGAGCCGAACACCAACTCGTTACACCCCAAGCCAGAAGTCAGCCCAAAGTTAGTCCTAAGGTCAATCTCAAAGTTCAAATCAGTGCTTGGAGCACACAAGACTATATGAAAGCTTCACGAAGGGCAACAATTAAATGCTGGAGGAACTCAAAAAATAATTCAAATTAAATGTCAAGATTCTCTTCCTTAAAGCAAGGGCGCTACCGTAAAAAGGAGGGGAGTGCAAAATCAAAAGGGACAACAATCAAAATAAGGCGATTGTCCTGTCTAATGATTAATCTCATCCTTATGATATGAAAATAGCTGTAATCATTTTTTATTTTATTGTGTTTATCAAAATAGATTTTAGAAGCCTATAATAATTGCTTTCACCTAGGGCACCTTGATTCAATTCAATTCAATTTCAATCAGTATTCAAATCAAGAAGTCTCTCCACCATCCTCACTTCTCCATTTCCCAACCCTAGGCAACCAAAAGAGGCACTCCCCCGAGCCAAATTTCTGCCAAAATCTTTTCTCTCACTCCGAAACCAAACCACCATCCTTCTCTCTCTAGAATACCCCCTCTCTCTACAGAAAGCCTTCTCTCTCTAGTTCTCTCTCTCAAACTCCAGGTAAAAAAAAGACTTGGAAGATCAAGATGAAATGAAGGGAGGCATCATGAAGCCAGGACGAAGAGGAAAATCAAGGAGAAAGAATCATAAAGGTAGAGATTAAAGAATTTCAACATCAAGGAGCCTACAAGAAGGTATATTAAGGTTTTACTCCCCTAATTTGTCATTCTCAGCTTTCATTAGTATTCTCAACAATTCCTCTTCGTTTTATTTTCTAAATATCCCTCACATATTTCACTTGGCCATTTCATCTGCAAGGACAACTTAAATTAGGTTTCCTTGCGTAAAGACCTGTAAATTCCGAATATAATGTCATGATTTTCATAAGCACATCATTTCTTAATCAATAATTATTAATCCTATTGGTGTTTCAAAAATTAATCCAGCCCAAAAACTTCACAATTGAGACATTCAAATGCTCCTTCGAATCCAAGATTTAAGAAAAAAGTATTTTCATTTTCACCCTCCTCAATACAGAAACCAATATGTATGGTTTGATATTAAAACATACTAATATCAAATATCATATCACCTTCTTAAAATTCCTATGGGTCCTCCAAAAAACAGAGATTTATGAACTAGGTTTATGAGGCATTGGGAATCGTTCAGGTGAAGCAAATTCAACATGCAATTAGAAACCATCTAAAAAAATTTAGCTGAGCCAAAAGATTGTAAGGCAAATAATCATAGGTAGACGAGTTTCAAGTTTTGTTGTAGGGTAAAAAGCTAAACATACAATTAAAATAATACGTCATGATCATTGCTCCACTTTTGGGTTCAGCTTTATGAATCATCAATCTCCATTACTTTTTTGATGTGCTTAAGGTATTAAAATTATTTGCACAAATGTTTGCACCGCTTCTAATATTGTTGGCCTTGGTCGGCTTATTTACTTCCTAATCCCTCTGCACCAATTACAAAATCACAAAAGGCAAGAAAACATGGAATAAATTATAAAAATCATGTGTAAGAGTTATAGCTTTTTCTGCTTACCACTTCAATTGAAAAAAAAAAATCAATTGAAAAAAAAAAATTCTTATTTGATATAAAGTAATATCAACTCAAGAATGCTTTTTAAAGACTTACCAAATGTAGTGGAGTCATGCCTTGCTTGTCACAGTAGTTAGCATCCACACCCTGTTTAGAGGTTAAAAACATGGCAATAAATGAACAAACAAGGACAAAAAAGTACAGTTGTTTCAATTTTAGGGTAACTGGGCATCAAATCAAAAAACAAAAATAATAAAACAGATGATCATTTAGCGCACAAACCTCACTCAGAAGCTTTCTGACACCAGCAGGGTCACTATTCTTGATGGCATCTCTTAAACCCTACACAGTAATAACATTTTACTGGGCAAAAAAAATCTCATTATTATGGTATAAACTCTATGTTGTTAAGAAAACATGCAGTCAACTTGCTTTTTCGCAAGGTATTCACACCTCTCCACTGACATCATAATCTGCTTTAGGCTTGTCCACATTACCATTGCTTGCTTGGCCCATGTTTAAAAATGAACTGCAATTATAAATTTACAAAGCATGGGCTTTAAAGATAAGCATATAAATATAACAATTAAAAAAAATAAATCATTTGAGATGCATATAAGATATGAAGCAGCTACAAAGATGAGATGAATATAATGTTACGTCGACACCTGAGGGCAATTTAGACTTTATTAGCCTAAAGATAACTTAGTCTTTTATTATTTATTATTGTTGGTATAAATAAGGGCTAATAAGTTTAGGGTTCGGGGTATGCATAATTAGGCGAGACTTCCTACCTCTCGAATTGTAGTATTTGGAAGAGATTGCCTATCTCTTAAATTGCAGGAGCTCATCCTTTATGTATTTGTGTGAGTTGTGTGGAGAAGGATTGAGAGTTGTGGTATCGAGAGAAAGAATGAGGAACAAACTTAGCAGCAACACTTGGAAGAAATAGAGCAACATTCGGATAGTTGGAACAAGCGGAAGCATGCAAACTAGAGCGAAAAAGTTGGAAGTGAATTGAGCGACAACATCTGGAAATTTGCAGGACATCTTGAGGTTTGAGACTAAATACAGCGAACAAATCAAGATGGCATGCGATTCAGGGCTGGAGATGATCACTTCAAATAATTTCAGCCTAGGACAGAGAACCACGGTGAGTGGGACCCCGACGGAGGGCTGCATCCAACTACAACAGTGCCTTTTGTGGTTGGTGGGAACGAGACAGGTGGGAGGGGGGGGGAGATTGTAAGGGGCTGATTTGCACATTGTAGAATATTCAAGAGGGAGACAAGATGATGGTGCTTCGCAACAACCCCAATTTGTGCAAGACAATGGTGATGTTGAAGACTATGAAGCAGGCAATTCAGACGTGGGGTTGAGATTCTTGATCAAGTTACATAGTATGGAAGAGACACATGATACCGAGTTGGCAATGAATTCAAGGATCGATGAGCTACAGGATGAGTTAATTGGGGTTGCAATATTTTCAAAAATTGACCGGAAGTCAAAACATCATCAAATTCGTAGGCGAACGAAGTAAGTGCATAAGAAGGTATTTTGAATTCCTCGGGGTCATTATAAATTTCCGATTAAGTGGAAAGGATTGTCAGATGATGATGCCAGATGGGAGCCACATGACATAATCCAACAACGGTTTATTCAAGCTTGAGGGCAAGTTTACTTTTTTTCGTGGCGGCGGCTGGGAGGGGGGGGAGTAATGTTATGCCGACACCTAAGAGTAATTTAGTTTTTTATTATTTATTATTTTTTGGTATAAAAAGGACTAATAAATTTAGGGTTGAGAGTATGCAAGAAAATGTTGACTTGAGTGTTAGGGTTAGGGTTTGGGAGAGACTTCCTACCTCTCGAATTGTAGATGCTTATATTTTATGTAATCATGTGAGTTGTGTGGTGCTGTAATGCTTTGATTTGAGATTAGTGAAATAAAAATATTTTATGCCTTAGTTTCCGTGGAAAAATCATTTCGAATCCTATCATATAACCCAACTTAAACAACTACCGGCAAATGGCAACTTCATTCTAGAGATGGTGGTGGCTACAGTACTCAAACAAGAATGACCATACAGAAAAGTAAGCTCAGGGAAAGATATCCGTGCTAAGGTTCCAGGTAGCTATGAAAAAGGTAAAAAGAAAACAAATACTTATTAAACAAACCGAAAGCTATTGTTTTTAACTTTAAAGCTGCACAAAACATGCATACTAATTTAAAAAATAATTAAATTCATATCAAATATGCTGCTTTTCTGGATTTATAATAACCTGGACTTGCTGTTTGAAGAAGAAGAAGAAGAAGAAGAGGGCTTCCTTGAGATGGACCCCGTTGTTCTCTGGTTTAATGAGGGATTCTTCGGCCTTGGATTTGAATGACTACTAGAAACGGAAATATTCTGCAGATAAAAAAGAAATTCAGCCACCAAGGTTCAGGATTAAACCAAAATCAATAGATACATGAAACATCAACCTGTGAGGGCAATGGATCTGGTGTTGGAGGTTTACAAATGCATAATGGCATTCCACATTTGCACTCAAGTACAGTAGGAACAGCCCTAGAGATTGAATTAGCTTCAGGGCCATCATTCTCATTCACATTTAATCTTGAAACTCCATTTACTACAGCAGCAACTGTATCATAAGACCTTTGACCATTTTCTCCAGATCTAAATAAGTAATTCAGAAAACATGAAATTAAAGATGAAAGAAAATCTAAGTATCGATAAAACATTGATTTGTTTGTTAACTAAAGATATATACAGGAACTAGGAAGGCGAAGCCAAAACAGAGACTTGACAGCATCATTCCTTTAAATATCACAAGCATATGGCAAAAAAATATGGAAGCTAAAACACTGGGAAGATAATATAGATAAAGTATCCCCTTAATTATGTGAGCGTAGCTTCATAGCTTTGTCAACCAAGGGAAACACCATATATATATATATATATATATATATAGATATAGATATAGATTAAACTCACACACACACCCATATATGCTAAGTCTTGAACTCAGGAACGTGTGGTTAGAGAAAAAGCTCTCAACCCCTAGGCTAAATGGGTTGCACCTTCATAATTAAACATTTGATCTCTGAAGTTATAATGACGCCGAGCACGATTCATGTTCTCAAAATAATATTTGGAGGAGTATACTATAATAGTGAGCTGCAACTTTTGCATTTAGGCAGTAGTGTAACCTTGACAGACAAGACAAGTGTTTCCTTAAAAAGCTTTCACATTACAAACCCAAAAAGAGTTACGTAAAAACAAAGATGCAATTGATATTCCAACAATGCTCTTTCAATCGGGATAACATTAAGAAGAGATATAATCATCCTATACATTATATCATCATTACCCAGTATTGGCTGCAAAATATTTGCAATCAGAAAGAAGAAGAAAAAATATCTAAAATTGCTTTAAAGATTCACTGCAGGATAAAAAAGTAGACTATATCATCATAAGTCGATAAACACCCAACTCAAAGATAAGGATCATGAAAGTTCAAGCAAGATACAAATAAACTATTCATAGAGAAAAGCTAATCAAATACTTTCCTAAACTTACAGACAATGCTACCATGCTAAGCACTAGTAAATTGCCATGCATGAAGCCAAATATTCTCAAAATACTGGCTAATATATTTGAAATCAAAGATCAAATGCCAATTATTTTGAGTAGAGAATATCTAAGATTTTAACTATCAGCAACAGATAATCATATAGGTATAGCACCATTCAAAAACGTCAACTATTAGCACTCACATGCTCCGGATGTAGCTAAGAAGCCTGCAAAATGAACCATGAGATTGCAATTTGCATAGTTTAAAAGTTGAAGGAATAGCTCATAAATAAATTTAAGTCAATTTTTTTTAAGTTCCTAAGAGGCTGTCGGGGATTACTTTCGATTTTTGTTTTTTTAATTTTAATTTATTTTATTTATGTTTTGATTTAAAATAAAAGATGTTTACTTGTTTTTTAAAAAACTAAAAATAACTTTTATATATTTTGAATATTTTTTTAAAAAAACTATTTAAAAAAAAACACGAAAAAAAATGCACTAAACAAACAAGTTTTTAAAATAAAAGCAAAAAAAAAAAAAAAAAAAAAAAAAAAAAAAAAAAAAATCTCAAAGACTTAAGTGCGACACGTGACAACCGCAATATTGCAGTTCCCAAACCTACGTATTTCATGTTTACAAATTACCATGATTCTGCGATTACGAGCTATCGCGATTGCGGGAGTCCTAATAGTACTGCGACCTCTTTCAATTTTTATTTTATTTTCTTTATTTTCAAAAAGTTTTCTTTCTTCTTCCTTTTTTAGATCTTACATATTTCTCTAGTTTCAAATTAGGTATTTTCTATTAGGGGACTTTTATATATATTATAGTAGGTTGTTTTGATTTTCAGTTTTTACTCATTTTAAGAATTGGAAAGAGATTTCTCTGTTTTATGCCCTTCCGAGAGATGTACCCTTTCCAATTGCAAGTAGTGTCGTTGTATCTTGCTCAAGAACAGATGGTGTTATCTTCTCGCCACCCAAACTTCGCTTATTTGAAGATTTTCTTCGTTGTTTTCAGCCGGAACAGCCACCGGATGATGCATATCCCCCTCCAAACACTATTGAACACCCACACTACCCTTCCCTTGCTATTCCACAACTATCTCCCCGCCAAAATCATTTCCTAAATACCTTATAGGAACCCTAGAACAATAACATCTAGTATCAATGCTTGACAAACTCAAAATTTTTTGGGATTTGTTATTCTTCACCTACCAAAGAATCTACATAACTTCAATCTTCCACCAATTCAATACCCAAATTATTCCTACAGCTATTCGTAGCCTCAAATCTATCGGAAATCTGATCGGAAAGAAAGGACTTTGTATCGCGAAGGAGAAACCCTCAACGAAGTATTCAGGAACTTACTACGAAGAATATGCAGCAGGAAGTCTTTCAAAAGTAACAAAAGCTTGTTGTTTTTAGAAAGAGACAATCTTGTGAGATCACCCAAAGCCACAATAGTGATTTTTCAGATCGAGTGAAACAAATGAATCCCTTCCCCTAGGAAACTTTCAGTGACAAAGAACCAAGTCCTTGATAATTTGGCATGAAATGTCAAAGGCGGAACCAAAATTTTTGAGTAAAGATTGACTTGCCAGACTTTGTAGATTTTATGAATCCAGACATGTTCATCGAGTTGCTCCAAACAGTGGAAGATGTCTTTGAGTACAAGGATGTTCCACAAGACACGTAAAACTATCCACCATTAAGTTAAAGAAGAGTGCATCATTGTGGTGGGAAAACTTAAATCATCTTTGATAGAGAGAAGAGAAAAGCAAAATCACTATTTAGTCCAAGATGAAACGAGAAATACGACACCAATACATACCACTTCATTACAGACAATATATGTTTTTGAGATTTCATCACTCATACCAACAACAAGATCTCTCAGTAGAGAATTACATAGTGGAATTCGAGCAGTTTCTGTTGAAGTGCGGGCTAGTAAAGCCTAAGAAAAAAGCCATAGCACAATATTTGAGGTAATTGAGATCGTCCATTGACAATATGATACAGTTGCAATCTTATTAAACATTACAAGATGTCCAGACCCTAGTCTTGAAGGTGAAGATATAACAAAACAAAATTAGGTCCATACCACCCTTCAAGCAGGGTTTAGCCAACAAATTCGGCAGCCATAGTACACCTATTAGAGCATCCAAGGAAAACTAATTCAGATGGGAGAAGATGAAGCCAGCTAGCACTCCCAAATCCATCCCTTCAATAAATGCTTTAAGTGTCACAATTTTGGCCGCGTGACTTCTAATTGCTCGAATATAAGGGCGATATTTTTCACTGAGCAGAAAACAGTTGAAGAAATTTACAGTAACATAAAGAGAATAAACACATTAAAGAGGAGTCTCAATCTCCAACCGACAATGGAGAGATATTAATGATTCAAGCTGAGCCCAAACGATTGCTCATAATAGGATTAACATCAATTGTCATAGAAGATAGAGAGCCTGAGAAGCAAGTACCTTAAAAGGGACAACTCCTGTTGAATTAGTTGCCAGATATCATGATTTACTGGTTAACTCTTGGGAGGCTAACATTGATGGTGACCCAACATGCCATAGAGTTCATTCCAAGGCCAATTTCTCCATACAAACTTGCTTATCAGATACGCCCAGCTGATTACAAAGAAAGGGAGAAGCAATGTACATATTCAATATCTCGAGGCCTAATTTGAGAGAATACCTGTCTATATGTAGTTCCGGTTCTAGTTGAGGAAAAAAATAACGGATTTTTATTCTATCTAAACAGTCTTTGGAATATCAAATGTGTTTCACAGTTGTCTGGAATGAGCGTGAGTATAACTTTTGCAGTAGTGTTGCTTCAAACACAACTAGTCAATTATTTTATCATGATTGTGGTAGATCGGTTCCAGAAGCTTCCAAGACAGAAGATGAAGCTCCTCCTACCTAAAGAGAGTGAAGTGGTACACACGACTGCCACAATACCGCGGTTCCCGGGCTGGGGGATTCCACAGTTATGGGATTACCGTGACTCATCTATTATGGGCTATCGTGATCACGAGAGTCCGACCAATACCGACCTATTTCTTTTTTTCCTTTATTTTGAGCAGGTTTCCTTCCTTGCTTCCCTTTTTTGTTCTTACATATTTTTCTAGTTTCTGATTAGATATTTTCTATTAGGGAACTTTTATATATATTGTAGTTGGCTGCTTTGATTTTCAATTTCTGTTGATTTTATGAATTGCAAAGAACTATTTCTATTTTATGCTCTTCAGAGTGTTGTATCCTTACCTTTTGCAAGTGGTCTGTCTATATCTTGCTCAGGAACTTGTGGTGGAACCTCCTCACCACCCAAACGTCGCAGATTTGAGGTTTTCATTACTGTTTTTAACTGGGACAGCAGCCGAATGACGCTTATCCCCCTCCAAACATCGTCAAACAGCCAGCTTATCTTTCCCTTGTTATTCCACAACCACCTACCCACCAAACCCACTTTCTAAATATCTTCTAAAAGATATCAGAAGCCCTAAGAGTTAACACACCAACCAGATTGTATTTTCTTGAATGTTCAACTTGCACACTAGATGCAGATGCCAAACATCAGAATTGTATTGTTTAGCATGTCTATAATAGCATGAATCCATCCGATAGCGTAAGGTAAAATAGTATGAGCAATTCAAACGAAGTTAAAACAAACTAACATAAAAGAAGAGAAAATGAATAAGGACATATGAAGAACAAGGTTCGGTCTTAGTAGTTTGTGAATAAACAAAGAAATTCATATTCAGTATTCCCTGTGCATCATGGATGATATAACATTAAAAAAAAAATCTTGAAGTTAAGGTCTCATTGTGAGCATAACTGCCTGAAATTTTAGCGGAAATCAGATTTCTTGTTATAGAAACAGTGTAAGATGTCATTGTGAAAAAAGGATAATAGTATGCTCAAAAGAAACAAAGCAATAATTGTCGTGACTAGCATTAACAGAATAATCCCAAACGTGAGTGCCTATAAAAAAATAGTCAAGGACAAAGGAGCGCAGGAAAAAATCTCGATGATCATTAAATATAAGGATAAGATAACACGAGATTGCTAATACTAACAGTCATACCGGAACAAGTTG